AACCATACTAAATCTGAGCATTGACCAGGCTGATGTATATCATTTTTTCTGCAACACAGATAAAAATAAGAATGGAAGAATGGAAGCAACGGGGGGGGAGGGGGGGGGGGGCGGTAAAAATCACTAACAACTAATCTCTAGGGCATAGCAAGATACCCAGTATTCAAAACCCAGTTACACCTGGCCACTTTCTTCTCCCCAAAGCCACTGTCATAGCTCCTTACAGTTTAATGGGTCCCTGGTCTGCAAAAAGTTTGAGCCATTACCTTCCCAAATGAGTGTCTGAATCTCATTTTTTTTAAAGATCTGTTTTGCAGCTGCCCTTGTACCATCTCCCCTAAAGTAAAAATATCCTACATACCAACCACGTCCCCCAAACCACCTCCCTTTATCTGATGCCCTGAAGCATGAAGTGTCACAAGCATATGATTAAGGCATAGCCTGGCAAGGCCAAAGAAAACAGGTATGCCATGGAGTGGAAACCCACAGACTGTACTACTGAGATCTATCATTTTACAAGCAGTTGCCATATTCTCCAGTTTAGCACTGGCCAAATATGCAGCAACAGCTCTGCAGTGTCATCACCCAGCCCCAGTCTGGACCCTTTATTTGAAAGCTGCTTTGAGGGACTCGATGCTTCTCTATCATTTTAAACGGCAAACAAATCCAGAGTTTAACATTCCTTGAATTCAAATACTAGTACACACCTTATTTAAATCAGTTCACTTTTGTTTATTCCAGAAATAAGCACCTCCTGATACATGTAATACAATATTAATGCAAGATGTTAAAGCAATTTAAATACAACTCATTAAAAATTATAAACAAGTAGTGGCTAGAAAAACAAATACTTGGCACAAATCTATTGCCCGTTAGGAGATAAAGCTGGGAATCCTTATTTACATTCTTCCACTGTTTTTTCAGAGACACAGTGGCCATGGGCAAGTCACTCAGGCTCAATGCCTCAACTAAATTTACATACTGAACTGACACTGGAACCAATGTGTCTTTGTCACATTTTATTCATCTATAAGGTGAATAGTATTTGTTACAATTTTGAATTATGCTCTTAAATACTTTAAAAACAAAATATTGATGTTCTACTATGGCAATTAATACCATAAATGTGAGTTAGTAGCTGATTCAACTTCAGTTTAAAATATCAGTAAACCAGTGATTTCAAAGTTTGATTCTTCAGACATATCCACACAGTTCCAGAAACATACTATTTTCAATGCAAAAGCTGTCAATATTAGGTCTCTAAAAAAAGGAGGGTGTTTTCTGCCAAGAGATGCATTTAAGAGAAAGACCTAAATTTGTTTTAATATACCCTCAATGCACATGCACCACCTGCTCAGTGAATATAATTTCCTGAGAAGAAACAAGTGAATTGTATGTATGATCCGAGGTCTTCAAAGCTGCCTGGGAGAGTAAAACTGCTCACTCCAGTGACAGCTGTAGGCCACAATCCCCTATGGCAGGCTTTGAAAAATCTCAGCTTTACAGATCAATTGGCAGCAAAACTCTCATTCTCTGTAAAGTCTCCTGGATATTCTTCAATTTGTAATGTGCCTGTAATGCAGTATACTCGAGACAGATGATGCCGAAGCACTATGGAACTCAGAGAGGAAAAAGCGCTTTACTAAGGAGACAACTATCCTCCCTACTGACCTATGAATATGTATTTTCCAGTTTAATTCTTTACTGTTCACTAAAGACACTACCAAAACCTGGCTAAAGTCCAGCACTAGCTTTGTTGTGCACATCGCACTTGTCCTTTTGCTGTCAATCGCTCTGTTTTATGATATGCTGTATATAAAGACTTGAATTGCAGTTAAAAACGGAATTAATTAAATGAAGGAAACATACAGCAAAAGCCTGGGAGAAGGATGACTACTAGGCATGCCACAAAGTGCGTCTCAGTTGACCGGTGAATTGCCATACTGATGGCCCTTGATTTGAGGTGAGACACAGCCTGTATAGCTCTGGGAGTTTTAAGGCAGCAAAGCCAGGTCACTACGCTGATGAGGAAGATTTGTTTTGTTTTTCAGGAAAACACCGCACACGAGGCGGGGGGGGATCCCATGCCATTCCAAGTGACAGGAAGATGGTTCCTGCAGTGGTCACTAGGACAAGAGCTGTCTCTAAGATACAGCTATTAAGCTGTAACCCATCCCACAAGTACTGTATTGCACTCATTTTCATATGATTTGTTGCTACAAATATTGTGTTCCACTAATTTTCATATAATTTAGCAGCCAGGAGGTCTAAGGAAGTAGCAGATTTGGCATACATCCTAGGCCCCCAACCATCTACATACTAGTGGAAGATAAACTAGCTGAAACTCTAGTAAGAATCACAAAACTAAAAAAAAAAACACCAAACAAACAAAAAAAAAACCCCAAAAACCTATTTTTTAAAAAAGCAAACAAAAGATCCCCAAAATAAAACGCTTTGAAAGATTCACTCTCCGCCCACACTATCATTTGCACTCTCACAGAAGCCCCTTCAGTTACTTCAGAAAAAGCCCAGACTAAGGAAAAGGTGACACACTCTGTACTACTTAACACACCACTCCACACCAACTTGCTAAGAAAGGAGACATAGACAGAATCAAAATTTGGCCACGAAGAAGAAAAGATCTTAGCATGTCTTAGTAAGTACAGGTGTATATTCAGCTTAGCGAGGTATCTTTAAAAGTGTTTTGGTTGTTTTAACTTTGTCCTGTTAAAAAAAGTTATTACTTTTTACAGATGCTGTAAAGTAGAACTGACCAATTTTGTAAGGTGGATCAAAACTGACTTTTTACTTCCTATTCCTATATTATCCTTAATATCCTAAGTAAGTTATTCTCCAGATCATATAAAATATTGGATGGTATATCAGGAATCCACCATACCTGAACACCGAACTGCAACCTCCCTAGCAGAATCTACAGAAATACGATTCTCCCACATTATCGAGTACTGAAACTGCCTGCTGCTTCCCCTTGTCGTCTCTCGTTTCTCCTGAATTTGAGTTCCCCAATTAAAGGTACAAAAACCAATTATTTCCTGTTGTACGCTGTCTCTCAATCACTTCTCCCTTTCAAGAACCTAAGCAATTTAGGGGAGGGAACTGCCATATTCAAATACAGAGGATCCAAATCCAGGGCAGCAGAACAACTGCTGAATATTTAGAGACACTTGAACTGGGAGGTGGTGGAGGAACAGCGATGGTGACAGTAATCTGATGCTTCCCTGTCGGTGTTTCAAGACACAATCGCAATTATTTGCTACTAAAACCTTCCCTCATTCAGAACACAAACTACGTCTGCTCTGAGGACTGGAAAGAAGAGAGTTATAGTCTACAGATCCCCTCGTCCTGCTTATTAAGTAGGTAATCTGCTATGGTAGTAGTAGATCTGCTACTAGTTAAGCTAGTTTATACATCTGAAATATCCCCATGAGAAATGTCCTCTATTCATCTCTGCTACATAGTTCTCGTGGTGCTGATTACTGTGTTCGCCTCTCCTAGTTTCCCTGTTGAAGAACCCAAGACCTGATCTGCGGAAGCACTGCCACCTAAGCCAAGCAGAAATTTGTCATCCAAAGTGGTGAAGTGTTACAGTGTTAAGTACTCTAAGAAAAAAAATTCAGAAGCTGAAAGTCTCAACTTTAGCATCCAAAACTAGTAGAACTTTGCCCCTCTGCCTTAGCTCCCCACCTGTACAAACAGAGTAACACCAGGTCCTTGTTCTGCTGAAGCTGTCGGAAAAGATTTCGATGTTCATAAAACGCTTCTATCCAACAGAAGGATAAGGTAATTAGCAATTCTGCCTTGAGATAAGGCTTTGATTAGCTCTTGTGTGTAGGCAACAGGACTTCATCCTCAAATGTAAAACCACCAGGATAAAGCCACGTTTTGAAGGACACCATGGAGCAGGAGTTTCAGACAGTCATGGCCACAATGCCATTGCTTTTGGTTAAGTAACAGGCACATGGTGGAGATTTCCTCCCCTACCCTTTCTGTCAGTCTGCTTTAACTGGCAGCTGTCACCACTCCCACTTCACAGGAGAATGAAGAGGTCCTCAGAAGAGGGAGTGAAACTGTTAGTCACCCCTGGGGAGATGATCCAAGAAGGGCTTCACGAAAGGCACACCTCTGGAGTCACCTCACCTTCCCCAGTGCCAAACACCAAACGCCCCTCAAGGATGACCAATAGGTCGGCCCACCATCTGATTACACACAGTTCATGACAGGGATTAGAGGAGTGTGTAGCTAATTGTTATTTTGATTACCGCAGGCAGCCCCATGCAGTGCGGGTTGCCTAGCAACATTTCTCAGCCCTTGCCAGAGCCAGCATCCAGCATCCATTTCGGAGGTAGCCTCCAGGAGCAACAACACACCGGCGTCAGCGAGCAGGGGGTGCGATCCACAGCACCTTCCTCCGGCACCGCGGGGGAAGCCTGACATCTGAGATGCCAATTCCCAGCTCCATTTACATTTATCATACTTCCCGTAAACCACACCGTCATCTGTAACATCCTTAACAAAAACCGTATCAGAAACACAAGCAAGTCTTGCAGGATACGCATGGTAATTAACATTTAGTTCAGATGCAATAGAGAAAAAGAATCAATCCTGCCCATTAGCAACCAGCAGATTAAGTAGGACTTTTATCAGTAAATAGCCTGACTGGCCTTGCAAAATAGTTACGTAAAAATGACATAACAATTGTGTATGTTGGGGATAGTAGTTCTGCAGGCCTGGACTCAGGCTACTTGTAACACGACGACCAAACACACTAACAAAAAGCTGACACCACACAGAATAAAAGACACAAAACACTTGCAGCAGAACACACGCACGCACCACCAGCCATACAACACCTTACTGAGATCACCGACATTACAGGTGTACTCCCAAAAAGCACAAGGAAGACCAAACAATGACAGTTACATACATACATTTATAAAGGAGCACTTAAAGGATTTTAAGGGAAAACACATCATGCATACCCTCCTCTTCTGTGGCGCTCCTTGTGCTTGGAGATCTTGTAAGGTAGAGACCTTTCTCCCAGGTTTTCTAGGTTCCTCACAATGGCTCCTCTCTCCATAAGAGCCTCAACAGTGCGCTTCAGCACAGCTGCAGTCTCAGGCTTTAAAAGACAAAAAAAAAAGAGAAAGCGGGAAATGTATACAAATCTGGTTATTCTTATTATGCGATTAGAAGGGACACCTGTACTCGTACAGCTCAGCACTGGAAGAGATCGTTCCATAACCCACAAGGGTAAAGTGGAAGCAGAAGCAGACCTCCTCCTAAGGAAGAAATTTTTTAAGAACAAACAGCCAATTCCTCCATGAATTACGGCAACAGCAAGGTTTCCACCGATGTCAAAGTCAGGCCCAAAGAACAACAGGAAAAAGGAAATAGTTAATGGATTTAACTCACCTGCTATCACTTTGGCTGACCCTTGCACAGGTGTAAGTAAATATAAATAGCAAAGAGCAATTATGAATCAGCAACAATTTTAAGGTCCCTGGACCATCAATACTCATTAATATTGTTCATGACAACATCTAAAGTGAATAGTGTGAGGGGAACACTAATCTGTGGCTTGCTGCAGAGACAATTAGCACCGCATTCGTTTTATATCATCATTTCAACTATACGTCGGTAATACATATTTGGAGCCTCAGCTAAATCACTTGCACATCTCATTACTTCTGCATAGCCAACATCCAAGCCTTTTTAAGAGTTAAGGAACGGACGTGCAGTAATTAGTCTAACATGCAGAGATTTCACTCCTTAGAAAAACAAGTTTGAGGGACAGGCAGCCAAAAAACATTAGGTAAAACAGATGCAACGTTTTCTTGCGCACTGCATATCAGCGCTCTTTAGAGTGCTGAATCATTTTGGTAATGACACTCAACAATATCTATGAAAATGTTAATAAAGTACAAATTAGAATGTTTTGAAAACAACTGCAAACTTATACACTCTCAGCAACAAGAAGTATTTTAAGAAGCAGATCTCCTACAGAGAAAGAAGACTAAATGGATGTCCAACTGAACACAAACCAAACTGTATAGCTTTCTTCTGCATTCCTCGCAACATTTCACATTAAGATACATTCCTAAGTCTACTTGTCCAGTGAGATGGCAACAGCTGTAAATGGAAAAGTAATGAAAGAGCTGATTTTCAGCTTTATTCAGATATTATTTTGTTAAATCAGACCACCATAATAATTTCCCTGTCCCTTCTCAGCCAGAAGAAAACTTGTGTAAGTCTTCAATCACCTTATCTGTAAGATGACTGAAACTTAGTTTCCAAAGTCTAAGGTAGAGATGTAAACCTTGACTAAGAAAAAGGGTTGTTGAATATCCAGATCCCTTAATAGGAATTGGTGGGGAAAGGTGGTGCCAGAATCTCACAAGCAGCAGTGCATCCCGTGCTCCGGAATGTGGAATTTCTCTTTCATTTTCCTGAGGATACAAGGTGATATGAAAGACCCTCCAAATGCAGAGCAGAGATGTTAAACATATGACGTTTTGCAACGTTCGCTGCTCTTTGAAAGACCTGAAGTACAGACTGCCTGAAACATTTTCATGTTTCCATGGGCTAACTAACCTGTGGCAGTCAAGAGTCAATCACGGGATCGCACCTACTGCTCCTCACTATCAATCAGAAATTTCATCCCCCTCTCTCCAGCTGCATAAACTGTTTGGGAAATTTCTTTTCAACACAAAGAGCCTAAAGAGTTATCAGGTCAGCAAAAATGACTCAACTTTTTTTTCAACACGTGTTTAGATCGTGTTGTAAAACCATTATGGGGACCAGACAAGTATGTTCATGCATGAAGAATTGTTGCTACCGTGCCAGAATTCTTCAATGCATTAAAACTATTGTTTCTCACAACAGACAAATACTAAAGGCATCTCTTCTCACAGTGTGAAAAGTTAGGATGAAGGGGTTAAGAGAGATTGTGGATTATACTATACTAATTAAAATCATATTTAGCTCAAAATTGGGAATAACACTTTTTCAGTTGACTTAGGACAGCTGCTTCCATTATCACTCAGATTTTCAAGTAAGCACCTCCCATGCTTAGGACATCCTTCTGCAAAACATTTGCAGAACTAACTGGGTCTCCTTACAACTCTTTTTGGCCTCTTGCCACAAAGCAAGCCATTCCCATAAATGTTACAGGAG